CGATATCACGGTTGGGCCATGGATGCCCTGTGCTGAGGATGCATTGGCCATGGACGTTATCATTGCCACCGCACCTGGATGCTTTCTCGTCAGATTGCATCAGACCATGGACGCTATCATGGTTGGGCCATGGATGCTCTGTGCTGAGGATGCATTAGGCCATGGACGTTATCATTGCCCCACACCTGGATACTCTCTTGTCAGATTGCATCAGAATCAGACCGTGGACGATATCATGGTTAGGTCATGGATGCTCTGGGCTCAGAATGCAGTAGACCATGGTCATGATCGTGGATGCTATGTGCTCAAAATGCATTGCCCCATGGACGTTACCATTGCCTCCCCCCCCCCTCCGCCCCCACACACACACCCCCCAACCCAACGCCCCCGAAGGATGCTCTGTTGTCAGCAGAAACCGTGGACCTTATTCTGAGAAAAGCATCCATGCACCAAGCATGATGACGTCCATGTTCGAATGCGTTCTGAGAAGAGAGCATCAATGGGTCAACCATGACAACTAACATCCATGCTCTAATGAGCTTTGAGAACCGTTCCCGAATCTTTCTGAATCAGCCGTTGTGATCCGTTGTGGTTTCCGAATCAGCCGTTCTGGTGGTGTGGTTTCCGAATCCATCGGTTTGGTTTCTGACTCAGCCGTCGTGGTTTCCGCATCAGCCGTTCTAGTTTCCGAATCATTGCTGGTTTCTGAATCATGGCTGGTTTCTGATTCAGCCGTTCTGGTTACCGATTCAGTCGTTCTGGTTACCATTGTTTCCGCCGACCCATTCAACATCGTTCCATTCTTCGTATGCACACGGTTTGCCGGGAAGGGCTTGACCGGCCGGGCAGATTCATCAACCACAGTTTACACAGCAAACAAGCACACGTGCATGGCTTTCTTCACGAAGATTTTGGCCAGCAGCTGCAGGCCCTTTCTCAGGACCGTTTCGCCGCCGTTGGCTGCTTTCTTGGCATGTGCCTGTGGGTTCGGACAAGTCCAAGTTCCTCGAGTACTGACAGACATGCCACCAGCACGGACTATTGTGAATCACGAATATTCCGCTCATTGCAGGCCTGATGCTGCGTGTGGGGTTATCAACACAACATTCGCGAGACACGATTTAGCCAGGCTCACGCTGCCTCAAGGCATAATTCACAAATCGCAAGTCCGATGGCTGCTGGTCTGGACAGTGATATTCAGGATGCCGCCGCGATTTTCCCTTGCAGTTACATGTTAGCCACCTGTACATCTGACGGAATGCCTCCGGATCGCTTGCGAAGAAATCGTTACAGATGTCGTTTGGGTGCGGTGGAAACCCGAAGCCTGTTCAAATGTTGCATCGAAGACTGTGCTTTGATGAATAAGCACAAATCGTTTGCCTACTCGTCCAATCGAGGATGACAGGGTTGGTAGGGCTCGACGAATAAGTGTTCCCATCGCCGAGTTCTGTCGCCATTTCACAATTCCTATGCTCGATGGACAACCCGATAACCCACTATTGAAAGAGAGCGCAACCACTTCCTGACCTGAAACTATTCTCGTCGCAAGCTCGGCGAACCAATCCACACCTCTGCACACGGGGGCCGACCATGTGGCAGTGCTCTGCGGAATTTAGCACGGCGTTCCTCTACAACGAGTGCTCGACTCGTAGATGGCTTGTTGAACAATGTTGAATACCGGTTGGTTTGACTGAACTTCTTTTGAAAGCTCCCATGAAAATGTCTGCGTTAGTGAGAAACCCTGGGCCGTGGCTCCCAGCAGAATTACAATCATCCGTTTGTGTCGGACTAAACACTTATGCAAGTATGCAGCTTTGTGTAATGCTCGTTCCTGCACCGTAGAGAGTCTGAATGATTCGGGACTATGTGCTGGAGTTTTCGAGTCTCGACGGGTGACTTGCATCACACCGCACTGAGGCTCAGGTAGAAATTCCATAACAGTCCCGATCCATGTGTACTGCAGGGTGTTCTGACGTCCCTACGACGACATAGCAGCTATGTCTTCTTCGAGAGTAGTGGCCGCATGCAAGGTGCCACTGCCGCTCAGGCCTGGCCCTGCAATTTGGAATTCAGCAGCGCACGGACATCATCCTGAACTCTCCATTATATTATGGCATAGTTAATTTTCCTTGTGTTGATTCGCATAGTTAGGCATAGTTTGCCACAAGCACCAACCATCGTAGCCGCCGCGAGCTGGGTCCTGGTAGGTGGAGGTCAATGCCACAGCTGAGCCGGGTTGGATGTGAATCTTTCTCTTTTTGCAGGAGACCGTAGCCCCTAAAGGACGAAGTCGTAGTTGCCGCGAGCTATCTTCCATACATGGTCCACTTGCTCCCAAAAACCGAGAACGCGCTGTCAACTTTCTCGGTTTGCTCAAGTCCGCCGGAAAGCCTGCACTCAGAATGTCACGGCAGTTTGCCCCTATACCTATTACACATGCCCTCGCAACTTAAAACTCCGCCAGACTACCAACCTGGGCGCAGGTGGAATCTGCTGTAGGCGCGGCTTTGGCCGTGCAGAGTTCTGGCTCAACACAGTGTAAGTGCAGTTGAGCCCTTAAAACTGCCCTGCACATGTACCCAATTTTATTGCAATCGTGGTCCTCCACGTGACATTGAACCTCAGGTGAGTTGTTTTGCGACCTCACAGGTGTCCAAGCAAGTCAGGCAGAGGTGGAGGTAGCTGTGATCCGGACAATCCGGAGAGTCCAACCATTTAGCCCCACTAAGACTGAGCATGCATGTCTCCACTGACAAATTCAGATTCAGATTCAGAGTCTGTTGACCCTAGGCGGGTCTTCAACCTTGCTTCATGAGTGCCTCCACCAGCGGGCCCACATGTAAGCAACCTAGATCAGACCCTCCCAATCGAGGTTCGGTGTGTCACCTTCCTCCACCACAGTGCGGGCAGAAGCAGCGCCTGCAGCGAGGCTCTTGGGCGAGGCGCGGCTCTGGGCGTTTATGCCTGCAGAGCTTCGCAACAGTTACAGGTTATGTGGCCTCCCCTGTTGCCTGGGAGTTACAACTGTACCGATCCTTGCTGACATCTTATGTGGCCCAGGTATAGCTTCCAATGGAACGCAAGAAATGGAACTTGTCTCTGCATGCGTAACTTCCCATGCCAAGACTATCTGGGGCCTCCAATTTCAGAATCCCATAGCTCCCACCTCCAGTCCGTAGGCTCTTGATGGGTGTGTGAAGGACCATCTTTCAGAACTCCTGACTTCGCAAGCGTGAGTGCTGCATCTGCACGTGTACCAGCGATAACAGTATCCATGCGACATGAGAACAAGCTTTGTCGAGGAGAGAGCTGCAACTGTGCAGTCTACAACAGATGCTGTAGCCTCTCACGAGACGCAGTGCAAGAGCGTGAAGGCCGGAGATCCTGGACCAAATCCTGCCCAAGCAACCCCACGCCGAGAGCTGAACCTAGAAAGGCCAGGGCTCTCAGCCTACTGTCTTTGTGCTTTTCGACAGGCTCGACGGCTGGCAGCCATGACCTGGTTGGTGACCTACCAGGCGATCTTGGCTTTTGAGTTTCGTTTCAAGATTGCAGAGCTCGGTGTTCTCGGGCTTTGTGAGGAGTGTTTGGTGTTTCATGGCTTTCAGGGTTTGCTTGCTTCAAGAATTTCGAGCCACTGCCATGTTATTCAATCCAGCAGCCTTGCAACTCCATGCCCGAACGCGACGAGATTTGAAGGCTAAGCCCCCAACATCCGAGCATCAAAGCAAGAGGTTCTTCTGTCTTCACCGCTCTCGGTGGCCTCAGCAACTGCTTCCTCGGTTACGCCATCGTCCTTCGTGTCCTCGGTTGGCGCCAACCTCATCGCCCTTGGCATCGACAGAGCTTTGCCGGAAGTTATAGCGGTTTTCAGGTTGGCGAGGTGACTATATTGCAGCCAAAATTCAAGTCACCGTGCAACGGTCAGCAGGAATGCGGGGGCGTATTCGTGTCATTCCTGGCTTCAGTCGCGGTTGTTGTCGTGGTCGTAGCAGTACCACAATGAACGTGGCTTCTGCTGAAAGCCTGTGCATAGCAACTATTCGCAGAACGAGAACCCCGGAAAGACCAAAGGCACGAACTTGGGACAACCAAGCATGCAGACAAATGCGCAGCGTGCGTGCAACTACCGGATTTGCTGGCATCAAGCACATTGAATGGTGAAATTAGCACGTCGTGGTTACCAAAGCGGCCGTGATCACTGGACGTCACAGTCACCAACAATGTCGTGTTGCTTACCATCACTGCATTATCGTACCGTCATCGGAGTCACCGCCTGCTGCCGTTTTTTTCCACATCTTCATCTCAAGCAGCATCACTTCTTGGTTCACGACCATCATCTCCCTCCATTGTCAATGTCAGCATCAACAACAGCAACCACAGATGAATCAATCAGCATGACAATCATTGAGCGGAATGCTGATGCGCGCGCACGGGGTCTGTGTACTCCGAGCCTAGGGTCCAAAATGCCCCTTCAGAAGGGTGATCTGCAGCAGGTCTCAGCCATAATGCATAGGATATCCGTTCATCAGGTGCTTCAAAGAAGATCAGACTTCCCTAGTTAGTACATCAGTCCGTATGTCTTGCCCTCAGACCTCATTGATCTGACTGTCTCTTTGCTTTGCCTTCGTTGAGGCTCATTGGTGTCGAGAAGCCTCGTCCGAGCCCTACTTGCAGTCAAGCTCGGCGAAAACGAGCTGCGAACCGAATGCTTTCGATCCAAAAGACACTCAGGTCTTGATTAGTTTCGAGCCCTTCTCCGTGAGCCGCGTGGTGGTCGACTCGGCGCTTCGCCCAAGATACTGCGGCCCAAAGCTTTTTGGGAAACAGGGTGTCCCCGCTCAGCGCTCAGGGTGTTCCCGTGAATCCTGGACAGCTGGCTTTTCCGGGGGTTCAGAGGCTGAACATGGCTAGTTGCAAAAATGACATTGGACTTTGGAGGGGATCTTATGAGGGTAGGATACCTGGTTGCATTGCATTCTCAAGGCTGCTGACGATAATGAGAGAGTCTTCCCGCAACAGCCGATGTCACCGGTCATTAAAATTACAGGTCATCCAGACATGTCTGTGAGGCGTATCCTTTGGGTTAGGAACCACTCGCTGGACTCGCCAATAGAGGCGACAAGAAAGACTACTGCTATGCATATCGGTTGGTACAAAGCTCAGTCCTTAATGCATGTACCTACTTCTACCCATCCTCATCATTCATAGCATTCTGCTCGGAAACTTAGAGGCTGTGAGCATGGTTCGATTCTGGCAATGCTTGGAACGGAGGAGACCTTGTTAGTGAGCCTTTCAAGAGTGCTCTCCAACAGTTCCGGACGTTAGTTTGCCGTGTGGTGATTGTTCTTGCTTGTAGCATGTTTTTGGCATTGCGTTTTTGCAGTCTCGGCCGTTGCTGACATCTGCTTGGAATTTTCAGCTATGCCCTACTGCACCTTCTGGTGCCGGCAGAGGAGCATCAAAACGAACGGATCATGAGCAGTTTGCACTGCGTTGAACATACATACTGCTATGGATGCTGATAGTGTTTTTCGTTGGTTCCAAACGTCTGCGCCGGCGTAGCTCTGCAGCATATAAGTCAGTTCCAGATGCAATCTTCGAAGTGCCCGAGGTGCCAGGGCTGCTCGAGTGGAGTGGAGCCCTCGACGGCAACGTCTCCGTCCAGCGGACGCCTCGGCGGTTTCTGTAAGAGCTCTTACACTGTATAGATGCGGATGTATGCTGTATGCTTTGTTTCAATGCAAAAGGGTTTTGTCAGTTTGTTGCGTGTATGAGTATGTGAACACACACGCATGGTTTTCGAGTTTATTTGAACCTTCGACCAGTGCTGACTGTGACGAAGGGGGTGTGGACTTCTTGAGTCCTTTCGGATTGTTTGAATTTGCTAGATGACTTTGGAAGACCTTTGGAGGTTGTGGTGGTGGGATACAGCTTCAGACTGGATGCTTCTTGAGCATTTTGAGTTGTGGTGTCGCAAGATGTGTTTGGGGACTTACTGTGGCAGCCTGGATTGCACACGCAGGATCGACGGTTCACTATTGCGCAGCGCGGGGTGGTTTTCTAGCTGATCATGATGGAGCTTATACGACTTTGGTGGCTTCCATGATTCTAGGACTCCAGGAACGATGCTGCACCAGCTTTGCCTTTCATTAATTCGTCGGTCATGGTGATTCGTTCTCAGTCATGATCGGCATGCATGGTACTGCGTGGCCGGATTTGCACACAGCGGTGCCCTCTTGTCGATGGGACAAGATGAGATAGCAAGCCATCTTTCAGCACTTGCATCCTCAGACTGCTGGGCTGTTCGACATTTCTTTGGAGAGAAACCTACAGTCCAAAGACAAAACTCTATGGAGTTATTCATTGACAGCCCATCTTTAAGGTTCTCCCATTGCTGGAACTCGGAGTCCGCAGTCCCTCAAGAAGGTTTTGCTGGAGCCTGCATGCGAGCCTCCGCTGTGCAAAGGTTTTCGATGGACAGTGATGCAAACCTCTCTGATCGGCGGTTATCTGCCGCAACCTGGGAAGGGGATCTGTGCCCTTGCAGCAAGATTTCTCGTAGAGTTGGGGCCGCTCAGGAATTCAATGCTGTGTCTCCGCGTCAACTCTGAATTGAGCTTTTAACGCAGGTGCATGCGTTTTGGTTGATATGACATGTTGAGAGTTGGAGACTTTCGTGCTAGCAGAAAGCAGGGCTCCACAAGATGCTCCCATTGCCAGGCGATGGACCTACCTCTGCAGCCTGGAGTACTTTGGCAACGTGCCACAGCCGCGAGACACCAGCATATCCTCCTGAAGCCTAGATCTGCTCTGCAAGCCCGCACGGTTTGCTGGACCTTGTCCTTGCAAATGTCGCTCCCAGGGACACACATTTTGAATACTATATATGGGCAAGCTGCCACTTTACAGGTTCGCAGGAGTACCCTTCTTTGCCAAACACAGTACTGCTGAGGTGAGTGCCGGCAGTACCAGCATCGAGGTGCCGGTGGACCATCCGCTTGGTAATTTCACCCACCTGGCGATCTTCACACAAAGTGTCGTGGTACCTCGGAAATATTGACTGCAAGGTCGTGTGTTGCAGTGCTTACATGTTTCTTTGCATCTTGCAGTGGTCGGGATTGTTCTTATGGTGGCTGCCATCAGCTGTCCTGCGGTGGTCAACCGCCACCCGGTGATGGTGCACGTGCTTGTTTAAAGCCAGTGCTAGACAGTCTGAGGCAGAATCGACGATTGCTGCGTCAGTTCAGATCGAAGATGCAGATGCAACTTCTCACTGCAAGCATGGTCTAGGACTTTGTACATTGCTTCGGGGGAACGGGACGACATTGCATTGAAAGTCCTTGCGCGATGCCTCATGTTTACAAACTGAGCCAGCTAGACTTAGAGCCCTGCAACAGCCGAGGCCAGCGTGTCCTCGGTGGCTTTCCCAGATGAGGATCTGGATGCTGCAGAAATTGGCGGCAAAATCCGATGGGTGGCTACGGCGGCAAAATCTGAACGAGTCTTGTGAGGGGGGAATTGGATTGTGCCGGTACCGCATGAGCTTGTGTACCTAACTTCCTTGCCTTCTCGTGTCGAGTAGCAGCAGCAGTCGTAGTACTAGTACTAGTACTAGTACTAGTAGTAGTAGTAGTAGTAGTAGTAGTGGTGGTGGTAGTAGTAGTAGTAGAAGTAGAAGTAGAAGTAGAAGTAGAAGTAGAAGTAGAAGTAGAAGTAGAAGTAGAAGTAGAAGTAGAAGTAGTAGTAGTAGTTGTTGTTGTTGTTGTCGTCGTTGTTGTAGCCTCA